GGAGTCTACGTTCTCACCTCGCTTTTAGACCAATGGGAAATTAACATCATTATGAACCTATTTTCTTCATCTTTACCCCTATGCATATTTGTATTATGAGACAAAATTGAAGCCACTCTGCTAATCGCTAATTAGGGATACAATATAACGAACGAATCATATTTAATCGTATGAAACTAGTCTAATTATGAACAATTGAGGATTTTTATTTAGCGTTCTTTCATGTAGTCTTCCAGCTTGTACACGTCCTTCTTAGTTTTATTCTGCTTTTATCCTTATTACGTCAATCTTCAGTTTCGTTTTCATGTTCTTGCCATCACTAATTCATTTAAGTAACAAATCCTTTTTTCACTTTTTTGTTCCAGATTGTTTCTTTTCCCGTCTTTTTCCAACCGATCTGTCAACTAATTTAAATAACATCGCTTCATCAACAGTCTCAGTTTCTGGCAATCTTCCCAAGTCTACAATTGTCGATTCCAATTCCACTGATAATGGAGCCGACATAAGTGATTCAAGTGCTATTGGAGTTAGGGGAATTGGTAGTCAAATTAACCTTAATGGGCCCACTCCTCTTTTTCTATCGAGCCGCTACTTGATCCGACCCCGTCGTCAGCAGGCCAATTTGGGCTATTTCGAAAGCACTAAAACTCCCATTGCCGACAACTACAATGGCCTGCCTCAAATCGTCAGTCTTCCAACCATTCCAAGAAAAGACAAATCAATTTCAGATATCCAAAAAAATGCTCACAAATTGCCTTCTGACTCGCAATCTAATCTTCTCCCCGACGGTAATTTAACCTTGCTCGGCCAGTTGCCTGTCGTTCCTCAGAACCGCCATCTGTTGCTAGTCAGTTTGAATAGTCTGGTATGGTATGCTGGAAACCCTGAAGTCTTTGGGTCGCAGCATGCTGACCCAATGGATCAATTTGCTTGGCTCAATCAAAGTTTTAACTGGGCAAGAAGGACTAACGCTAAGGTAAGAATTCTTTGGCATTGTTTTTATGCACAAAATCGGTGTTTCGTAGGATTCTTTAATGATTTTGTGACTCGAATTTTCTTTTCAAATAATAAGTTAGTTGGAAGGGCTTTGTGACTTGGCCTCATCGAAAGCCGAGGGAGGATTCGTAGATACAAATAACAAGATGTTGTGGCCTTTGGGTCGCAGTCGCCCTTCGCTGTATAGAATTGGTTTGATCTCGACCTTAGTGAGCCTTCGTTTGTTATTATATAGACTTCTTCTGAGAGAGAAACTATGCCCTGTCCAAAGCAAGTGAGATGCTAGCTGGTTACAAACCTGCTTATTTGTTATATTTAATTTTGTTATCTTAATTAGGCATCTCATGATTTGGCTGGCTATTTCATTTTTATGTGAAGAAAAGTAGTCTCATAAAATCTATTGTTTCATAATTATTGAGCTTTGCCTCCATTTCGAATTAAAGTGTTTGGTGAAGAGATTAAAAGGTTGATCCCACTAGAAGACGATGGCGGATTTCTTTTGAGCAGCTGTCAATTTTGTTTTACTGGGACATTCTTGTTGACGCTGTTTTTGAGGGAATCTCTTGCGATTCCAATGAAAACGCGGCAAAATCACGTCCATCTTTTGACTTACATCATTATAGCAGGGTAGCATCCTTAAAACCATATTCAAAGTAACGAGTTTTCTTGATTCGTTATTTAGAATGTGATTGAAGGGATAATACCCAGTTCTTATGATATTCGTAAAACGATGGAAGAAACTGTGGCACATTTTCATCGGAATCGAAGGAGATTCCCTCGAATGTAAATGATACGATGAAAAAGAATTATCATTTTGCTTTAAAATGTACGCTTTATTTTCCACATTCTTTCGAGCTTGCTTATTTTGTTTGGAGTAAGAGTGAAAAGCCCTTATTTCAACATAAATCACTATATGCCGGACAGTCTAGGGAGTTTTTAAACTGACATCCTAAGACAAAGGCACGAATACAGATCCTATTATGTAACCGTAAATCATAATCTTGGTCAGAGCTTTGTCATTTATTATTGAAGCCGACATTGTGTGTGCTCACTCTTAGATAGACGTTAAAACCAAATCTCACATGTACAAGATCCCATTATATTTGAATGATGCATTTCTAAAATTTATTTAATTGTTTTTTAACTTTATTGATTTATAGCTTGCTTACTTGCTATTTATAGATCTATTCTTGACTATTTATTGTCTATTTGCTTCTGCAGCTATTCAGATTTACTTCGAAAGCTTGTTAGATGTGATTTATCACACAGAGATATTATATTTTGCATATTTCATATCGGTAACTGTTATTTTCACTATTTTTATGGGACTGTTTAAACATTTTCCTACTTGTATGTTTCAAGAGGATTTAATGCTTAAATTGACTTATTTCTT